ACTTTACTTTACTTTACTTTACTTTACTTTACTTTACTTTACTTTACTTTACTTTACTTTACTTTAATTTTACTTCAATCCACTCCCCATCACTTCTCTTCTCTTCTCTTCTCTTCATTATTATAAGCCTGCTCCCTGTCAATTCTGTAGCCTGGCAATTTTCGCTCCATATCCTCGACCTTCACCATCCTCTCGAAGCCGATTCCGCACCCCATGTGCTGCCACCAAATGAACGATTCAGAACTTGACTGTGTTGTGCATTTGCCCAAGGCGATGTGGATAGAGCGACAGAGGATTTATTGAGTGCTGATGCTGTCGTTTCAGCCTTTGTGCACTGCCCAAAGAATGCACCATCGATCATACCTTTACCGATCCGACAAGCCTGGCCGAAACAGACAACCAACAGGAAACGTGCCTTCCAATCCTGCCATGGCCAGGGCAGACGAACAAGTTGTCCCGCAGGGAAATCTGCCTCGGCCCATTGGCTGGCCTGCATCGTCGCCTCGGCCTCCACACCGTCTGGCAGATTCGCCATTTCGCCAGCCACCCCTCGTCCCAACTACCCACGCATTCGGACACAAATTAGGCCGCACACACTCACACACACACATACACACACACACAGATGTAGAAACAGGCACATATATATAGATCAACATAACAGCCGTACTAGATCAATCCAGCTAGCACACAGAATTTGCTGCCATGGCGATGAAGTTCTGTGTGTCGGCCATGGCTTTCGCGCACTCCCTGCAGCCTGGCAACACAGAAGTCTACTTCGATGAGACCAATCCGAGCATGCTCCATCTTCGTTGCAAGTGAATTAGAAGATTTAATCTGGGCCCCTCAGCCTACCCAGACAACTCGGTGTGTACATTTTCTGCCTTGGTTACCCTCCCTTGTCACTTTGGCCTCGGTTCTGTGAATCAAGGTCAGCTGACCGGGACAAGGTGAGGAGCCAAAAGACTCTCTTTTAGTTTCTAAGCGAATGCCATCACTAGCCTGAATGAAGGAGGAGGAGGCAAAAAGGTAATTTGTGTTGGCCAAAGCCTGCTCTAGAACAGTGCTCGTCAGGATTCACGTCCAACCGGGAGTTCTGCAGCCGAATCTGCTCCTCCCTTCTGAGTATCGCCGGGTTCGGACGAGACTGACCAACGCTGACCCGGCGTGAGAACAGAGGATTTGGGCTGGTGGCGAGCCAAAAACAACTAGTGCTGCGTTGGGACCTTGGGAGTGAAGAGGTCCGGCATCAAGAAGCGGCTTCTTGAAATGATTTGGTAGGAGCCCTTGGAAGACAGACATCAACCAACTCTCCGAAGGTTAGCGGATCGGAGATCTTCGGAAGCAGTGATTGCAGTTGTCTTTACTATCCATGCCAGGTTAGCCTCGGCTTCGAATTAAGCTAGTCAAGCCATGTCAGGAATGTCGGAAAAGTTTTAATCTCCGAAAGCGCTTAAGGAAATGTAGACAGGAAAGAAGGGTTTACGAGAGGCAACCATGGTGCAACCATGTGGCGACAGAATTGCTCAGTATTTTCCACGCCATTTAGCCAGGAGCCAATAGTAACCAGGCTGGTGGGAGTGCAATTTTGATGCTGTTGTTTTTGCCGATGTCATTCTCCATGAAATTAATTATTACTTCAACTAGCCTTGGATAGAGTAAGTCAATACAACAATTACTGCAGCCGAATAGCTCTTTCATTATTCTAATTTTTAAGAAAAGACACCGGTGTAGAACAAATAGTGCAAACATGAAATGGTAAATAAACAAGAAAGAAGAGGTAAGAGAGTGAATTTAATTGAATTACGGGAAATAAGGTGAAAATAAATAAATAAAACGGAACTAAACTGATGGAAGTGATATGGAGAAATTAGAAGTAAAGCGAAAAAACAATCTACATTGAGAAGTAAAGTAAAGGGGAGTAAAGTAAAATAAAGTCAAGTAATGTGAAGTAAAGTGAAATTAAGTGAAATGAAGCGAAGCGAAGTTAAGTGTAGTAAGTGATATAAAATGAAATAAAGTAGGGCTAAGTAAAATGGTGTGAAATAAAATTAAGTGAATTGCTTTGAAATAAAGTGGTGTGAAATAGCGCAAATTAATATAATGTGAGAGTACGAGCAATATAATGGGTTAAATGGTTGAGAAGTGAAAATAGGTGGAGTGATATGCAGAAATGTGCAATTGAGCAGAATTTACTGCAATAAAATGGAGTAATATAAAACAAAGAAGGTTAATTAAAGTGAATTAAATTAAATCGAAGCAAAGTAGAGGAAATAAATTTAAGTCAAATTAAGACAAGTTACATCAAATGAATAAGTAAATGTTAACTTGAATAAGGTAAAGTTATGCCAAGCGAGTCAATGTCGAAAAGCGGAAAGAGG